GTTAGATATTTGTTAGATGTTTGGCTGAAAATGTGTGTGTTCAACAGACCACAGCGTAATAATCGTTCCCCAGGACCCCAACCTGCTGGAAGAAACTCACCTGGAAATGCAGTCACCAGCATGGTAAGGGGAGAAAACCTTATTATCCGGACCATTTTACTTTCTTTCATCTGGGAAAGTCTTACTTCAGATATTGTGGGCGTTCTAGTATTTACTCATTCTGTCCCCGGACAGCTGTCCCCATCATTTACGCCGACATCTGTGATACGCAAAATGTATGCCACAAAAGAGAAGAGCAAGGATGAACCATCAAGTCGTTCTGAGACTAAGGACGAGGCAGCAGCAAATTTGCAAGATGGTAAAGAGTATAAATGATTTATACAATGTACTTGATGTACATGGTCACTTGATATAACTTTTGTCTCAGGAAAGGGTGCTGTGATGCTCAAATCTGGGCTGTTATTACAGGAAGTAGCTCTCCAAATCTCTTCCTTGATTCGCTGGATGGAAATATTGCCCAGTCCGGAGGAGTGAAGACTGTCTCACAAACCTTGCAAAGCAAAGACCAAGAGCGTCTGCGGCCTGGCGCCACTGGACACCATACTCCAGGCATGGTACCTCCAGGACCACCATCTTCTTTCCCTCGACCCGTATACCTGTCCCATGTGCCCGTGGTGCGTCCACCTCCTCAGCTTCACCCTAATGTGGTTCAGCGTATGCTGGCACAGGGGATCCAGCCCCAGCAGCTCGGACCTGCACTTGTGCAAGCAGGTTGGTGTCTTATCACAGACCTTCAAACAAAGCTGAGTTTGATATTTCTGATGGATCTTTTTAATTGTACTCCCAAGGTATATTTCCACCACATGTTGACCTTGCACATCTCCAAGGCTTGCCCCCTGCCCTACTTGGACAACCACTGTACTCTTTAAGTGCTACAGGACATCCACTTCTACCTCCTCGAACCAATACTCAGATGCAGTTAGCTGTTCTACAGCAGCAGCTTCAGCAGCAGAGACCAGGTGAGTCAGTCGGGGGACTACTTGGTGGAAGCGGTAGCTTTCTGTAGAGACAGATCTTCATCACGTAGTTGTGCCCCCCCCCCTTTGTACAGGTATAGTTCCAGAGTGTTTTTTTTGCTTTTCGTATTTTTTTGTCAGTTGGCCTTTTGTCTCTTCTCACAGTACATACCAACGCCCCAGGCACCCAGTCACAGAGCCAAGGCCCCCACCGGACAAATGGCTCTCAGCGCCCAGGGGGCAGCCCCCCGTTAGGCCTCGCTAAGTGGTTTGGAACAGATGTGCTAGAGCAGCCTCTGCCCTCCATGCCAGCCAAAGTCATCAGTGTTGATGAGTTGGAGTTTCGGCCATAAGAAAATAAACGGAGAAGATTTTTTTTTCCCCTTTCCCTCTGCCTATCTTTCCCTCTTGGTTACCATGAAAATGTGAACTTTAATTTGAAAGATGGTGCACAGAACGGGACATTGTAACCATGCCAAGCTTTGTCTACAACTTGAGTCATTGCTTTCTAAGAGGCAAGTGACGGAGCTCTGTTTGCCTGTTGTGAATTTATTTTTGTTATTTTGTATTAGACAGTAAATAATGTATAGGCCCAATTGTACAGACTGTGGGAAGGAATCTTATTCTCCTTGTATATAGCTGTGGTGTTTTTTTTTCTTTTTTTTTCTTTGGAAGGTGAAAGAGTCCAGCAATTACACTCACAAATGTGAGACAAAGTCACTGAGAACTGGTAGCATTCCTTCATCCACCTTGAACCCCCCCCAGCTCTTTGAGAGAAGGCCACCACTGATGAGAGAGATGGAAGTGTAATGTTAGTGTACCTGCCACCTTTCCTTTGTGATAAAACTGTTGGTCCTTCTGGATGGTTGAACATAAGATGCCCCCAGGGATGCAGCAAGCTGGTTGTGCCTTGTGTGGATTTTTTTTTTTTCCTTTTCTCTTAAACTGTACTTTCTCCTGGGGGGCATCACTGCTCACACTGTCATTTTTGAGGGTGACTGAGATTCAGTTTGTGTGCTATTAAGTTATAAGAAGCACAAATAGAAATGATAAATAAAATCTTGACTACAAAACTGCTTGTGATTGTTCTTATTGCTGACAATGTGGGTAATTATGCTCTGGACTGTGCAGAAGCGCAAGGTCTGAACCAAAGATGTGATACAGGACCACAAACTACTTTTTTTTCTTTTTGCCTCTTAATACGACAAGCTCTACTTGGTACATGAAATATGTTGGATTGTACCACACGGGTGTGCACATGGTGTACATCTGAAACATGTTAAATGTATTTTCCTCTTTCAGAACTTTGCTTTGCAGGGGCTTTTCAAACGATGTCAGTGGTATAGAATTGTGGTTAACACATTTACACTGGATTTGTATGAAGCATAAATCTGTCATAGTTGGGCAAAGGTATGGATTCCAAGTAATGCGGACTTGGAATCCTACATAAGGGGCTGCTTATGATGTATGCTTTCATGTTTTTAATGACAGAACTTTGAAATCAATGGTAGGTTAACTCTTGTCTTAAGGCTTGGTTTGGATAAATATGACAAAGGTGTGTGTGTGTGTGGTGGGGGGGGGGCTGTATCTATGAAGTCAGTTTTTTTCTTTTTCCTCAATTTGAATTCTTTTTCACAGTGCAGTTTTGGATTACCTAAGGTGACTTGTACAGTGCGGTGTTTTACAGGCGGGCCTGAATTAGATTACACACTGCGCTTACAGAGCAAGGGGGGGTTTGGTTTTGTTGGGGGAGGGGCTATCGACACACGCAGGAAGAGACAACATTTAGACCGTAAAGCCATCAGAGACCCCCGCGGTGCTGCTTCTACTCTTCCAAGTGACTGCAGTGAGAACCAGAGAACAGTGAAACACTTTTCTACATCTGCTGCCAAATAAAAGAAGCATTTGTCTTAAACGAGAGCGACCCCCACCCCTCAAGAAAGCAGGGTCAAAGTTCACAGGAAGCTGGGGGCTGCCATTTTTCCCCCTGCTGTTTCTGCTACTGCTAACGCTTAACGGTAGATGCTAAAACGACGGGAGGGGCGACTGGTTTGGGGTTTTTGGAGCTAGCTGGCCTCAGTTGATCGAAATCGTTCCGCGCTGTCCGTCATTTCTCCGACCGTTGTCGCTAACTACCATTGTTATTTGATGACTTCGGCATGGAGAAAGTAGCGGAGCCGTCTTGGACTTCTTCGTACACCTTTCAGGTGAGCAAGCACAGTGCGGAGATGCTACACAACCTCAACGTTCAGAGGAAAGATGGAGGCAGGTTCTGCGATGTGGTCTTGCGCGTTGGCGAGGAGATCTTCCCCGCTCACAAAGCGGTGCTGGCGGCGTGCAGTGAGTATTTCGAGACGGTGTTCAGCCGTCCAACGGAGGGCGACGGAGACGCCAAGGAGCTGGAGATGCACACAATCAGTCCGAAAGTTTTTAAAGACATACTGGACTTTGCCTACACGTCCAGAATCGTGGTTCGACTGGAGTGCTTCCCGGAGTTGATGACAGCTGCCAAGTTTCTGCTGATGCGGTCAGTCATCGAAATATGTCAGGAGGTTATCAAGCAGTCCAACATCCAGATCCTGGTCCCGACCGCCCGGGGCGCAGACGCCAGCCTCTTCCAGGCCACGGCGTCCGCGGAGCTGGGCTTCCCCGCGGCTCAACAGGATCTGGTGAACGGAACGGGCATGCTGTTGAATGGTCAAGCGTTTGCTAACAATACACAAATGGGAGCAGATGGGAGCGCGGACCCAGCTGCCGTGCTGTTGGGGGACTGCGGCGGGTCGTCGGTGCCCGTATTGGAGCCCGTCGAAGGACTCCCCGTTTCGCCTCCGACGGAAATAACGGGGAACACGTTTAATCACGACACCGGCGGCTCTCCCGCGTCGAAGAGGCCGCGGGGGAGACCAAAGAAAGCTGGCGGAGCGGTGAGTGCCGTCCACTTTAACCACGGCAGCCAGAAAGACAACGGACTGTTTCCTTGCGGGACCTGCGGGAAAGCCTTCACGGAGGCTTCGCGCCTGAAGAACCACGAAGCCCAGCACGGAGCCTCGGCCGGCGGCGTGCAGAGCCTCGCCGACAGCCTGTCCGCCGCGGGCGGGTTGTCCCTGCTGTCGCAGCCCATTCTGCTGGAGAACGGCCTGCAGCTGCCCGGGGGGCTCCTGCTGGACAACGGACGCAGGCGGGAGCGGACCAGGCGGCATGTGGGCTGCGACATTTGCGGGAAAGTTTTCCGCGACGTGTACCACCTGAACCGGCACAAGCTCTCCCATTCCGGGGAGAAGCCGTACGCGTGCCCCGTGTGCGGGCTCCGGTTCAAACGCAAGGACAGGATGTCGTACCATGTGCGGTCCCACGACGGTTCGGTGGGCAAACCGTACGTGTGCCAAAGCTGTGGAAAAGGGTTCTCAAGGTGAGCTGGATGTGAGGTCTATTGTCCGGTGTTGTGACTGGGTCTGAGAGTCCAAACCTTGAAATAAACCCTTTTCTTTTATTTGAACTTTCTACTTAAAAAGAAAAAAATAAAGAAATAATTATCCTTCTACGGACAAGAATGGTGGAAGCAGCTCATAAGGTGGTAGTTTTGCAGAAAAAAACTTTTGGGAGCTGAATGTATAGACGTGTGTATGAGGGAGCTGGCATCTTTCTGACTTTTCATGGAAATTAGGAAGCCCTGAGCCAGACCTACGGTTAAGCTGGAGGAGGATTTACTTGTTATTTACTCTTATGCCCATAAACTAGTTGAACAAACGCAGTGATCTGTGGAACGGTTTAAGCTCACTGTCTCCACCTGCTGGTCCGGCGGGTTAAAGACGAGTGAAAAGTCTCCGGATGTAAGAATTGAAAACAACTACATTCACATCAATATTGGCATCAAAATATAGAATATCTGTGTGCAAATAATTTTTTGGGGAATTATGTTGAGACAGTCACATTCAACATTCACCATGAAATGTAAAAGCCATAATCCAGCGGTTATGTAAATGTAAGTAAAGGCCAAACACTCTTTGGACCAGCATATGCTCCGTCACTGAGTGTTGTTCGGGAAATAAGCGGGAGAAGTCAATGGAGTTGGTGGAAAGTCAAGCACTTCTTTTCATGACCATATGCCATTTTTCATATTTCTTTCATTCTTCCAGACCAGACCACCTGAATGGACATATCAAACAAGTGCACACAACAGAGAGACCCCACAAGTGCCAGGTAACTGCACCAGGATGAGGTTTTATTGTGGTCCAGTGTATCACAGCGGAGATGTCATGATGCATTGATATCTGTCTTTCAGATTTGTAATGCCTCCTTCGCTACAAGAGATCGCCTTCGGTCCCATCTGGCATGCCACGAGGACAAAATTCCCTGCAAAGTTTGCGGTAAATTTTTGCGAGCCGCATACATGACGGACCACCTAAAGAAACACAGCGAAGGGACTCACAACTACTGTGGCATTTGCAACAAAGGTAAATCCCCCAAACACATGAACCTGTCCGGCTGTCAATGCTGACTCACATCCTGAGATACTCAGGGTTATAAAACCCAGACATCTTCCTGTTTTTGTATTTGACTGCCTGCTTTTTATAAAAAAGAAATCATTTTTAAAAACACAAGAGTGTAGAGTTAGAGCTGGAATAACAGATTAGATTTATACTTATTAGTGTTTTTTTTCTACTCCTCCTAGACCAGAATATGACCCGACCCTAAACACTTTTAGCCTTCTGTCAGAGGTATTTCTAGGAAAAGTTATATGCTTCCATATCACATATCATTTTCATGTTGGGACAGTTTTATGTTTCTGGGGTATAACTTTTGATTAAAGATATTCTTCCAGATGCATAAAGCGTTCTTTCAACCAAGCTTTCAACTAATTTAATGTCTGGCTGAATCTATATATTTTAGAGTTTCCTGTGACTGAATCAGTCGCCTTCACATGTGCAAGGAGCCGGTTGGCTCCTTGCACATGTGAAGGCATTTACTGGCAATTTCCTCATTATCCTCTAGAGAATTTTAAGGGACACAATTGTTTTTAATACATGTAATTTAGTAATTTCACATATCTGCTGCTTTCGTTTTTATCTGGTTCCAATGAGAAGATAACAACTTTGTCCAATAATCAAGCCCATTGCATGATTTGACAAACGTCTCCTATGTTTTTGCTTGTTTGATATTAACTAGTATAAGCCTGCAGCTTCCTTTTCAACAGCTATGGTGGTAAATTTGCCTTCATGTGGAAAAACAAATCCAAACAACAAAAAATATATATACATATTTGTGATGTTTTCTTTTGTTGTTTTTCTTTTACCCCAAGTTAATTCAAAATTCTATCTAAGGTAGGACAGTTTATCCATCCACTTCCTCTTTGCTTTACACTATCCCTCTGGGTTGTGCTGAGATGAATTGTCAGTGATGTGAAATCAAATGTTTACCATGACTCTACAGACCAGGGATATCCCACTCTGTTCTTCAGGAGCCACTGTGCTGCAGCTTTTAGGACTGTCCCGGCTTCAACACACCCGATTCCCATCGATGTGTCACTGGCAGGCTAGTGCAGAGCTTTTGAATAGATTCGTTTAACCAGGATCAGGTGTGCCGGGGTAGGGGAACCCATAAAACCTGCAGGACAGCGCCCCTCGAGGACCGTAGTCGTATCCCCATACTTAAGTATCACACATTTACCATTGAACATGTAGAACAGAGTTGATAGTGTGTAATTGGCTGAATGTTAAGAACTGAAAACAGTTTGTGACAGTCACAAAGAAACAAGAATAAAATAAAAATCTGTTTTTCTTTCAAATGTGTTTGCCGGGTTGAAATGTTATTTGTGTCCTATATAGGGTCAATTTAGCCTTGACTCCAAAAGGACTGCTGTCTTTGTTTTTTGTCTGTAAGTTGTTGTTTTTTTTTCTCACTGGTAAGTAAGAGCAACTCCTCCCTCTCCCATAACAAAGCATGAATAACTATTTTCATGCATTGTGTAATGTGGCAACCACAGTTCTTAAAAGCACCTTGATAACTAGAATGGAGACTAAAATGAGAGCAGACTGATAGTGAGGCCAAGAGATTGTTGAGTCAGTCAGAGATGGAGGATTTCCAACTGGTTGTATCTTCAAACTGTGGCCCTGGTTTGTGTCCACAGGAAGTCCTCGGGTCAAATGTGCTCAAAGACTCACAACTGAGTTAAAAAATGATTCGGTCTGGTCCACCAGGAGGTGCTTTGTATCAGGCAGTCAGAGCTGTGTTACAGTACAAAGCAGTTTGTTGGCTAAGCTTCCCTCACACATTGTGTTTCTCCTCCCTGTTTACATGCAGTTCTAAAGGTGGGTATAGCTCAACCACTTTTTAAAATCACCTTGATGTTGCGAGGGTTCTTTGAGCTCAAGCAGCTAGGGAATCGGATCAACATCAAACAGCCTTTGTTTCAGGTTGCCCCTCTCTTACTTGAGGCTTTGAGTGTGTTGAGCAACTGCCGTGTTTCTTTGTTCTTCTGGTCTCAGGTTTCTCCACTGCCTCCTACCTTAAGGTGCATATAAAGACACACCACGGCTCTCCTTTCCCCCCGTCCTCCTCAGTTCACACCTTCCCTGAGCCACGGGGGGAACTGCAGATGCACAACGGCACCCCTTACCACATGGGACGCCAGTGCTCAGTGGAAGGCAAGCAGCCGCCCGCCCCATTCCAAACGCTCACGTTTCTGGCCGTCATTTGCTCTGCTGCTGTTTGGGAAAAAACATCCTGCCACATTTGTGTATATTTTAACACGAGCGTACATCTGTTCCTGCTTCCATGCTTGTCGCTCCAACATTTACTGTTGCAGCATCATTTGCACAGACTTCTCTGAGGACATTTCCATAGTTTTTCAGTTTGACACACTTTGTAATTAAGACTTTCAGAAGAAGCCATTAAAACCTAAGATCGCTTTAAAAAAAAATAATTCTAAGTCTTCAAAATTGTTGGATTCAAAACACACTTTTCTGAGAAATTTGCCACTGTTGGTGTGCAAACTCCCAAAGCCACTTTTAATGTTGAATAAACTCCAATTGAGATTTAAATCTTTCAGATTTGATCAAAGATGAATGACTCTGCCTTTACATTGACCAGTGTTCGCTCTATGTCTTAATAGCTTCAAGCTTGAAAGAAAACTTGCGATCACTGTGTCCAGTTTTATTGGCTGGAGTGGTCCGTGACTATGAAGTCTGTCGGCTTTTAAAACATGAAGTGGTCACAGCAGCATGCTGAGGACCCGGGCCTGAAGGGCAGGACGGTAGGAATCACTGTTGAGAAGTGCACCTACTCAAGCAATAATCTTTATTTATGAAGACCAAAGGTTGTTAAAAGGCAGAAAAGTCATTCATGTGAATACATAAAGCTGGACTGGAACTACATTAACAACAATTGACCCAACTCAGTCACCAACTGATGGCCATCAAAAGAGCACGTTCTATGTTGAAGAGGATATTTACCTCTTCATTAGCCATAGAACAGGACATTTGCGGTAAATTAAGATTTGTTGGCTTCTTATAAGACTATTCTTTCTTTTCTTTTTTTTGCTGATAATGTGAAATTTAGAGCTCTGACCCACGTTTGCCTGCATATGTGTGTTTGTCCAGCATGGCTGTGGCCGTACAGATAACAGTGTCTGTTTCTGCTTGGCTGGTTCATTAGCAGTTGTTCAGCACATTGTTGCATGAATGTCCAAATGTGTGCTCCATTTGCCCTGAATTCATTGAAACTTTTGCTGGGGGGAGGGGTTTTTTTGGGGGGGGGGGGTTAAGAGTTGCAAAGAGACAGCTGTGGCTGTGAGCCACGGCCTCCACTGGGTTTCAAACAAATGCATGAGGGAAAATACTCTCCATCAATTATGTTAATTTGTAACTGCCTTAAAGCTGATCTGCAAACCATTTCAGGACACTTGGGTTTAACCACATCTATTCCTTAAAATAGATGTCTTATTTCTTTGTTTCATCAAGTTAGAATAGAGATGACTTTTTCTAAAAGGCTTATCCTACTTCTTATAGACAAGATTTTTTTCGACCTGTGTCTTAATTTCACTTTATAAAATTAGGAGTTAAGACTGTGGTGTTTTAAGTCTTTAGGGGAAACTTCTCACTGTTTTCAAACCTGAAAATGTCTTCACACTACTTCTACTCTTCAGGATAACTGTTGAGATAACGTTTACCATTTGTTAGCACACAGGGGTGTCAAAAGACACTCACTTTGTGCCTCAGTTTTTCAGAGGTTTCAGCGGATGAGTTGAGTCCTTTATTTGTCATTTGTTCATGGTGAAAAAAAGTGAAATTTGTTTTAATCCTAAGGTTTAATCTTGGCATAATACCATATGGTCCTCACTAGGTCTTTAAGATGTAGAATCTAAAACTTCAGATGGAGAAAAACCATGGGATTGTACACTTTGAATGATTCATTAAAGCTGAAAAGGACTTCAGTTTGTGTGTGCGTAGTTCAGCTTTGTGTTGCAGTGATTTAACTGAACTGAATGGGGTGAGGCCAGCCTTGGAACTACTTGTGAAAATGATGATTGAAATAAGTGGAGGATATGAACCTTTGGAAACCTAAAAAAAAAGCGTTGCTCGAGTAAAAATGTTCTTGTTAGATCTTGGATCACGCTGAAGCCGTTAAAAGTCTGACTCACCCTCTGCAATGGCCTCCAAAGTAGCTGCTGTCGTCATAGATGACTCTAACAAGCTCACACCGAACAAAAGATGCCCATGGCTCTTATCATTTAGTCATGGCGGTTTAAATTGGCAGAGTGCCTCCTTCTCGCATCGATATGAAATGTGATCGTTGGTGTTGTCTTAATTTAGCTGGAACAAAGGGTTGAGAGAAGTGCTTTATCATATTTTGTTCTAATCGCTGGCCAGTGGATGAATCGAACCAGGTTTTTTTTTTTCTCCCTCTTAATAATGGAATGTTTGAATTGCTTCATCAGCTCTTTAATATTAGGCACGCTGCTTTTGGAATTAGTTGAGTGGAAAAAAAGTTGATCCATTCCATCGCTGACGGCTTTAGTGGTTGGACTCACTCGGCATGGACGCATTCATACTACACCCGTCTTAACACACTGTGTCTGCACACGGCACCCCAGATGCTGTTAATGAAATGAAGGTAACTGTCCATATGGTTTCCGCCGGCCTGTCATGTCTGTCCCCTCCTCTCTCCCCGGCTGGGTGTTGTGTAGACCTGTGCGCCAGTCGCCAGCTGCTTCTCACCTCCTCTGAGGCAGAGGGTCGCTGTCACGGTCTGTCGGGACACCCAGTTCTTCCCCAGCCCGGCCAGTCAGTCCTCTGCCTGCAGCCTGAGCTGCTCATGGGGAAGCCAGGTGGGGCTCCGTATTTCTGGGAATGTCGCTCTGGCGGAGCTCCTGGCTTCCCCGCCCTCGGGCCTGTGGCAGGTCAGTACGGTCCAGCAGGAGGGTTGGTGGGGGCATGGAGCTAGCATGGCTTACTGGTTGGATGAGCACAGCAGAAATCTCAGTGGAAACTGGGCAAATGGACTGAGCTGTATGGCTGGTTACATTTTCTGAATAAAGCCTTTTTCCCCTTTGAACTTGATGTATGGATTGCTGTCGTAAATAATTGGACGTACTGTAGTTGGTATGCATTTGTGCTTTGTGCTCTCAACCTTAATCCCAGCTGCCTTAAACGTGTTTTTGCAGACAACAGCTACCTATTGGTTCATGACTAAATTTGACAGGACCTGTATTATACTTATTTTTCCTAATTCATGCCTCTCTTGTCTCCCATTTCTGCTTTTCTTTCTCTTTTTGTATCGCCACCCATTCTCTGTGTTGGCTTCAGACGGTCAAGAAAACGATGGCAAATGTCCCCATCTGGAGTCAGAGGAATCGGACGCTTCGTTCAGGGAACTGTCCAATGGCGACGAGCTTAAGTCTCCACACAAATCGGAAGAACAGGAGCTTGACCTGCCATCCTTAGCTTGCAACGGGGCGTCCGACGGGACTTTGGCGTCTCCAGAGGGCTCCAAAGCCAAAACAGACCCCGAGAAGAAGTTTACTTGCGGGATCTGTGGTCAGGCCTTCCGCACCAAGTCCTACCTCAACAAGCACCAGCACAGAGTTCACAAAGCTCCGCGGGCCCATGCGGCCCCGGCTTCTGGTTTAAGTGACATGACTCCCTCCCTGACTTCCCCCTTCTCACCGCAGCAAAACATGTCTCTTCTTGAGTCCTTTGGTTTTCAGATAGTCCAGTCCGCTTTTGCCTCCTCACTGGTGGAAGCTGAGGCGGGTCAAAGTGGAATAGACTTTGGAGGGAAGTGAGTGTTTTCTTATTTTATTTTATTTTTCTTTTAAGGCTTTACAAGATGAAGTTATTCAGCCCCTACTTCTTAGGACAAAGCCGGGTTGCCCTCAGAGGATGCTCTGTGTTTGGGAAATATTTTTGCCTCAAGACTACTTTTCTGTTTATCACGTTGCTTAATGTGTCTCCTATATTTTTGTCAAAAAAAACTGCCATAAAATTCCTACATTTTGTACTTTTTCATTGTAAAGGAACGGATGTGTTTAGTGTTTAAATGTTCTCTTAAGAAATGAAGGTTTCATTGCCTCTAACTGATGTGAATCGGTTTAAATTCTGTTTAGCCTTTTCTCTGACTCGTCTTATTTACCATCTCGATGTTTCTGGACTTGAGATGATTTAATTTCTGCATCTCTAAAATGAGTAATTGCCGTTTCACCAATCAAAACTGCTCTGGAAATCCTGGTTTATCTATGCCAAATACAGCGATTCCTTTCTATTATAAGTAAGCAGATTTACCTCAGAGCAGCAGAAAGGCTAAATTCTATATTTATACAAATTCAGTTTCTTTTAAGTGTCAGTTTTGACTACAGTTCTTTGAATATCTTAGTTGTTGGAGAGGAAAAATTCCCAACATGCTCATGGGAGACAGCAGATATCCTCTGCCTAGTTAAGGTAAGGTACCTGCCAGTCAGACCACCCATCCCCTCAGTTAATAAGCACTTTTTCAAAGAGTCCCCATCATGTTTTGGCTTGGGTGTCTGTAGAATAAGATACTCGATTGAGAGAAAAGAAAACCTATCAAATCATGTTACAGGTATAGTGCAAAGGAACCTTTTATTACACTTTTATAGTGTATAATCTGTCGTTTCCGTGCCAGGGCAATGGCCATTTCCCCCTTTTTCCTTGTTTGTGCCAGCTGGCCTTCGGCCCTGTCCTCCCACCTGTGTTCCACAAATCGTCCTCAGTAATTACTTCCTTTGCTAAAACGGATGAAACACGCAATGGGCGGCGCTTTTAGCTGCGAGCAGAGATGAACAGCTGTGTGTTTTGCTCTGGTCCTCAGCATACCTGAGAGATTTCATGTGCTCGGTCATTTTTGACAAATCTCAAAATGGACCCGTGGGCTAAAACAACATGATGAAATGATGATGGTCTGTAACACACAGTGTATGTATCTGTTTAAAATGACATCAAAAACACCTGTGTCCTCCAACTGCTCGTCCTGCTTCTGAAAAAGATGCCCGGGAAGACAAACTGGGAAAGATGTGCGGCGTCCTGTCGGTTAGTTGCTGATTCGATTGTGTGAATGAAACGGTGAGCAAAGGTCAAGTGTATTTTCAGTGTGTATTTTAAGAACTGCAGATTATATTTGATAACTTATTCTCTGTTTTGAGCGGTTCAGTTTTGTTCATTGTCAATCAAAACCATTGCGATTAGCTCTCACCGATTCAAGTTATGATTGTTGTGCAAAGAGAGGGTTCGAAGGAGGACCCGCATCTTGAGCCACCCGCCACTCTACAAAAAAAAAAAAGGCAAATCCCAAATCCCAGTCTGCTTCTTCGCCCTCCACTCCTGGAACCTTCTGCTCGTGCTGCCCCTGAGTTGTTTGCACTAATGCTCTCGCTCAGTTAAGTTGGGCGATATCCATTTGGTTGACGCGCACTGCAAATTTTTAAAGATTCCACAACATTCCTGTTATTAATATGAACCCAACTCATTTTTTTTTTTAAAATCCTGAATTAATTTACAGCGGAAGCCTCAGATCCACATTTCACATTTAATTCAACCTGGAAATGGTCAGAGAAATCTTTTTCATGCCTTAAACAACTCAGCGAGGTGTTGATTCATCAGAGGACATCACTTTACTGTGTTTACTTATGTTTAAAGATGTAACACTTTATGTATTATTGATCCAATCAGTTTCCTAAATGATTTATTAGCAGCCCAAAAGTTGAATATTTACTCTCTGCTGACAAGCAGGAGTCTGAGGTGAAATTGGAATTCTAAAGTTTCTATTTTCTTATCTTAACTTTTTCAAAGTTTTCTCCCAGTACTCAATAATCAAAAAAGTTTATTAGCTGTGGTATTTTAGTTTAAGTGACCCCCTTCACAATGACTCCCCTCTCCCCTTAATCCCGTAAATTATGGAACTAAATCTAAACACAATCTAAAACCCTTTATAACTCTATGAAATCATCATTTTTATCTGCAGCTCACACATTGGATTAAGTCTGTTTGTTTTTTTTCATTGTCATGAAACCCCATGATGCAAATCAGGCTCACTCCCAAAGTGATGGGGCTGGCTCTGCGTGTGTGTGTGTGTGTGTGTGTGTGTGTTTGTGTGTGCGTGCGTGGGGGGTTTGTGTGTCTCTCTTTCTGACTTTGTGTTTAATTATTTGTGAGTAATTTAGTCTGTTCATTTCAGTACATTCCAATATTATTTATGTTTATATTGTGATTGTAACAAGTGTATATATCTTTCATATACACACACATCCTATAAATATATATATATAAATATATATGAACCAACCAATATGAACAGTGTTTGTCAGTGGTGGTCCTGTACATATAAAGATTTTCCTTTTTTCTTCTTCTTGTCTGTTGTGTGGAGGGATGTTAAGTTATGGCCGTCTGAAGTGTAAAGTGCATGTTCTGCCATGCGAGCTGAGCTGGGGACTGAATGTCGATCACTGGTTGGTGGCAGTAACAGGTAGACTGCTCACTGTACTATCACGCTGCTGTGGTAGCGCTCACACTGCCAGCTGCTCGACCCCCCGTCTTTCACCAGGTTCCCCACCCCCGTTTTGATCCACTCTGCACTAGTATTTACTCTTTTCAAAGGTTATAAGGGTGTTTTCTTTAATTATGATCACTGTTTGAAGATATGTGGAAAATGCTGTAAGATTCTTTGTTTTGTTTTGTTCTGTTTTTCACTGGGAAGTGTGATTTTGTTTCTTACACGTCGGTACTCAAATGTAAAAGTTTTATTTTATTACCTTTTTCTTCCATCTTTTAGGCTTCAGTGTTTTGCTTTCTGCTTTTGGTCTGTTGCAAAGTGCCTTCCAAATACGTATTGTGCACAGCAGTGGATTAAAAAAAGGTTCTTTTCTAAAGGGTAAGAATTGTATAGAGTGACTTGCATTGACACTTTTGTATGAAAGTGCAAAATGTACAAAAGTTAACTTGGTATTTTATCGTTGTACCTAACAAGATGGCTCTTAAAACATGTGAGCTACATGCTTTGTTATGACGTCTTTGGACATATTTCACTATAAGCTTACTTTTCTATAAATATTTGTTTTTGTACTCTGTTATTGAGTCTCAACTCTTCTTGGTGCAGAGACGAGCATCAAATAAACTGCAGCTGAAAATTGAGCCTCTCTTAAAGTTATTGATGAGGAATGATGAACCAGTTCAAACCAGTCAAACCGGGCCGGCGGCCAGGTTTGACTTAGTTCATACTGTAATCATACTTGAAACTGATTGCAGCAGGAATGCGTGACTCGAGCCTCAGATAATCTTTACTCATTCTCAATGCTGAAAATTAATCTAAATATTTGTGAAATGGGCCAAAGATTTCAAACATTGTCACTTTAAAATTGAATCCAACTTATTTTATCCTAAAGATAGACTTTGAGGTAAATGAACTTGGATCTTAGAATCGTGCAAAACTGAAGTGAATGATCCATATATCTTTTGAAAATAAGATAAAATAAATAAAGCTAAAAGATGTGGAGGAAAAAAAAGTTTATTGCAATATATTACATGTAATATATTCACAAGCTGAAGACTGTTAATGTCAGCAGAATATTTGTGCTATCCAGTTGTGTTATGGATCTATTTGTCTATTGTTTTATCATTTCTCTAACAAATAATTTTTAAAAAAAGGTTTTAAAAGTTATAATTTAGTTGCTACATCAGTGCTCTCAAAGTTTTCTCCTCTGCTCTTGTAGTTCAGTTTGTTAAAATCCTCCATAATTTCCACCATACTCTTTCCTTTGGTCTCTGGGACAAAATACAGTATAAATCCTGCACTGAAAACTGAGTAAACCACAAAAATCAGGAAGCAGAACTGCCCAAGTCCGTCCTATGTGGGCAAAACAAGAAAATGGAAAAAAAAAAACATCATAGTCTTGATCAAAGAAATACAGATGGAACATATGGCAATGGACAACTGAATTGCAGATATCTCACCACGACATAGCCGAACAGCATCCCAACCAGGAACATGCCCAGCCAGTTGATGGTCCCACTGATCACATAGGCCGACGGACGCCAGGCTTGTAGGAAGAGGTCAGCCGGCAGAGCCATGGACACACCAGCTATGGACAACGGACATGATCAGATAAGTTTGGCTGCTAGAACTTGTGACCTTAGGTGTGGGTAACAAAGAAAGTGACTCACAAGGCCCGAGTCCATAAATACAAATGACACAAAAGATCAGGCCGATGTTCACATAGGGGATATGTGGGTTCACGTCCTGTGGAAAGAGAAAAGTTACAATTTATCTTTCATTAGAAAGATGAGAGAAACTCAGAGGTGTCTCGCTGGGTTCACCTTGAAGGACAGCGTGACGGTCAGTACACACATAGTGGCGGCCATCAGCAGATAGCCAATGCCCATCAGCTTCTTCCTGCCTGCGCGATCTATCAAAAAGGACTGAGACACAGCAGACGTAGAGAGGATGAATTCAGCTAGAGGAAACATACTTGGTTGACAGGAATTCATTGTGCACCTTGTGGGCATAACAAGAAGTCCACATTTCAGATTCACCCAGACCTCATTTATCTTCTCGTTTTTCACTGATACCTACACACAGTGTGATGGTGATGAGCTCCGTTGCTCCAATACCAATAGCCAAGTAGTGCTTCTTGTCTTCTGGCACCCCCGACTCACGGAAGATGTCAAAAGCGTAGAAGTACAGCTGATGGAGAGAAAAAAACGGCAACTGTCACAAAACATAAAACAGCTTTTTTTTTGTGGTTGTTGGGCTGGAAAGCCAAGGCCAACCTACAGCATTGATGCCACAAAACTGAACCCCGGCACAGGGGATGGCGAGAGTCAGCAGCTGCCAGCGCACGCTGCGTGAGCAGAGCACGTCCTTCACCGTCTTCGCCTTCTCCCCCTGCGCGCGCTCTCTTTCTTCCTGCATGTCGTCCAGCTCCATCTTCAGGTTGTTCTCCTGCCACAGCCACTGCAGAGCTGTTCCACGCGTTTCAAAAACACATGTTAATCCTTGTCTTGTCTGTTAACCACGTGAAAAAACGTGAGGCAACCACATAGTTTTTGCTCAGTTGGAGTTAAAGTGAAACAATGTTTGGGGAAAGTAAAAGCTGGGGCAACAAGATATTACCTCATGGAATATATGTGCAAAGGTATATGCATTAATATATTGGAGAGTCATTTTGCACATATTTTATATATGTATAATTGAAAGAACTTTCTTTTTCAAGGTGCCTCACTGCAAAACTAAGAAAATGAACTTTGAGTTTTGGGAAAAATTGTTCAAGATCATCTTGTCAAAATAGTCCTGATTACAATAGATAACAGATCTTCTTTAGTCCCTTTTCTTTTCTCATCTCTTTGTTTTTTCATTTTTTTCTCCAACCATTGGACATTCTTAACGCAAAAATAACACCTTAAAATATAAGAGTTTTATCTTTAACTATTTTTAGTTGCTCAGACATTTCTGATAATACTTTGTTTTAGCTGATAGATAAAAGATGACAATTTGGGGAAATTAATCTTCAGACTGCTGCAGGGCCTGAAGTGTCTTACAATAAAAGTTTATATCAGACTATCTGTATCTTTCTACAATTCAAATCCTGATTCTACTGCGTCAACTCACCATTTCTGCTGCCTTCGATGTCACCTTTGTCAATGTAAAGGTATCGAGGCGACTCGGGGAAGAGAAAGAGCATCACAAACTGCAGGATGGCAGGAATACCGCTGATGGCTAAGAGGTATGGCCACATTTCTTCTGTTCCCATTATCTCCCTGAACGCAGCAATAAAGACAGGTGAATCAGAAGAGAAACACAATGGGTTTGGTGGTGAAGATAAAACAGATGAGAGATTTTAAGTCTCACAGGAAATATTACATTTAGTGCTGGGATCAGTGTAATCAAGTTAAATGATGTGTGATACTTTCAACTGAAACGAAACATGGCTTTAAAAGCAAAAAACAACTGCCCACGTTAGAGGAGTGGGTGGAAATGTAACCAGGCCTCCTTCTTTTACCTTATTTGTGTGTATACTTGTGCTTTAAAGTGCCAGTGGTCAGTCCTTACTTGATACCAATGATCTGGCCCGTGACTTTTCCCAAACCAATGAAGATGGAGGTTGTGAGGGTCAGGAAACCTCTAAGCTGCTTTGGTGAACTCTCTCCGAGATACATGAGATGAACGCTGAGGCCGAGGCCTTTGGAGAGAAACAGGGTGAGGAGGACATAGAAAAAACAAGGACCAAAGAAAAACAAAAAGACTCTACACAAAAGCATGACACACCAACATTATATCCATAGAGAAACCTTCCCAGCAAGATCATCTCAAAAGACTTGGCCATTTGACTGAAAACCATGAGCAGGGCAGCGATGATCGCCACGCCGTTGTTAATCAGAAGAGCTTTTTTTCTGAAAATTCAGGGAAAATGTCTGTTCAGAGGAGGTTCACGGTTCAAAGCCCTTCATCCATGTTTTCACATCATTCTTTCCCATGAATGTTTGCAACCCAGTTTTGATATTGATGTTGACTGAACAGCTTTGTTTTTAACCCACAGATAGATGAAAAAGTACATTTAAAAAAACTGCCGGTTGGCTGCGTTCTGCATAAAAGCAGGAAACAGCTACTTCACTTTGCTATGTTTGTCAGCATGTCAGGAATCGTTTGTATTCTTTTATTTTCTGTAACACATATTGAGCTGAAACAGAATTTTGAAATATATGTATCTGAATGTGTATGTGTGCTGTGCACAGTGTGGCCATATGCAGGTATGAATTTAAAAACGATGAATTTGAACTAATTTTAGGCAGTGAGTCGAAAGCAGTAAAGCAATAAAGTATTGTGTCAGTCTCTCACCGGCCATACGTGACAGGAAGGCTGCCGCTGTGAATGGCTCCGGCCCAAGCTCCCAGACTCAACACAGCCACGATGAAGGACCAGATCAACTGGTTAGTGGATTCACTCACTGGAGAGCCATACCTCAGAATCCATGTGTGGTTCACAAAACTGTGAATATGCTGCAGAAGAGTCAGAGAGGTCAGCGGCCCTGAGGCACTCAAACATGTTACAACAGCAGGCTCAAGTCCTCTGGACCTCAGGATGGTGATTGCTATTCTGAATGTTGCTGGGTTGTTTGACATATGACATTTTAGTAATTTATTACCATTTAATAAGTCAAATTTATTGTTGTGTGGTCTCCTGCCCACTGTTATAAGGTATAACCGATTGTGTACGATAAGGTTTTCAGAATTAAATGACGAAAAAGCTCTCAGATACAATAGATTTCAGAAATATGGTATTAAAGGGAGGAGGAATTCAGAATACAACTGATACAAGATTTCTAAGATTTACTTGCTGGGTGATTCAGCGCTGCACTTTGAGGAAAATGTGCGAAGAGAGAAAATTATTGGGAAGTTATTGTTTGTTTTATAGGATGTTTTTCTTTTTTCTTTTACAGAATCACCTTGCCATGGGCCTTTGTAGATAGCACATCTCACCTCTGCAGGAGAAGCAATGAGAGAAACTTGGATTCCATATTGAAAGGACCCGCCAATTCCCAGGACAACAGACAACAGGTAAAGCCTCCAGTACTGCAGCTGCCGTGAGAAGCAGACACCAAAATGTCGTATCAATTTCAAGCCAACAAAACATTTTCAATGTAACATTTTTCACAAAACATTAACATCTCTGAAAAACTGACCAGACCCTCACTCTCCGGACCCAGGTGCATAAGCACTGTGCTCACTGCAGAGAGGCAGTTCAGGGGTGTAAATGCGCTTAAATTAATCCCACTGCCTGGCAAACCCGAGACTAGCAGGTCCACTTTTACGTTGTGCAACACTTTGGGACGGGAGAGGATTTGGAAGAGAAGTACGACTGGGCGTAAAGGCACACTTTATAAAGAAGTCAAAAGCAATATATGAGTTTCACAGAATGGGGCGAAAAATCATTGCTTGAATTTTGTTTTATAAGTTACTATTGGCCTTTTTATTACTTCCATTGTGCGAATGAAATTGGGCTTTTGGTATTGCTTGGATCATAACAAAAGAAAAAGAGAAAAAAAAAGATTGAAAGTCACCTCACTATTCTGGGAAGCATTTTGGGCGGAAATCATGTATTTATTGGTTTGTTTTTGTTTTTGTGGACTTGTTTTAGTCTAATATTCTAGTAATCAGTTTTTTTCCCCCTGGTGTTGTTGCCTATAATTTTCTACAAGTTCTTTTAGAATTCAGACTGGGAATATGCTGAAACACAATCTGTTAGACAGTGTAGAGATGCTTAGAGTTTATTCTATAAAAAAAAAAACATTTTTGACATTTTTGTTACTCTGCAGAATGTTCAGCCTTGAAATTGCATCAAACTTGCTCAATGGAAAAGTCTCAAGTTCACAATGAACGCTTGCAATAACTGAATCTGTTACACTTAGAAAAATAAGAAAGTAGACACAACTGTGGAGATGAATCATAACTATTCTATCTTTTCTCATAATTCAAACAATGATTATTGTTTTTTGTTTATGGCACAGAAGGGTATAGCCTATCACAAATCACCTTGATTTCAAAATATGACGCTCATCATTTTATCTACAAATGCAAATGTGCGTTTAATCTCTAGATACTGGCAGATGTTTCTGAACTATTTTTCTCATTTGTCCTCTGTTTAGACACTGTTATCAAACGTGAAGGTTATAAATCTTCTTCTAACACTGTGACAGGAGTATAATGACGATAGAGACAGTGTGAAAATGTTTTTACAGATAAAGACATTTTCATGCAAACACTGTAAAGTTACACGAATAGCTGAAATGCAACAATGCCCACTTACCTTTTTGGATGCAAACTCCATATTTTTGCGCTGGTTTAGTGGATTCGGGTTGCAGAAGGAGTGGATGAGGAGTGGATGTCCAGCATATTTGAAGGATGTGACATAAAGTTACACTTCAACAGGCTCTGGTTGTTCATCCATGCTATTAGAGCATGCTCGTCATGTTTTGACGTGGGCGATAGGGATGAATACACGTTGCTCAAGATTAAACCTGGTCTGTCTGGCTGTTTCCTGTGATTCATACAAGCGCAAACGGTCCTGCCAGTATACTCTGTCAACTGGTTAGCTATTTTCTTTCGAAGCAGGGAGGAGGAAGGCTCAAAAGAACAAAAGCACAAACATTACAAATTAAGTTAAAGCAAGGCATGCAAATGATGGGAGCATCATCAATTATTTACAAAGTGTTCAGATCTTAAAAGAGCTTGTACTTCTTATATAATTAGTGATGCAATGTTATCAGCATTTTTTATCCAAGGTGCTGGGGGTGCTTTGTATTAAGCACACATTTGCAACAAGCTTCACATTTTTGGGATTACATGCACACCTGCACTGATTATATTGCATTATTCAACTTTTGGAGCTTCTTTCTTCAGCAGCGGTCGTCAGTATTCATAGGGGCAACATTCTACTGAAATCTATGACACAACAATTGCTTGTTTTATGTATGTATAGCTTAAAAAGTATATATTTTCACAACTGCCCCAAACCAAGCAGAAGTGTTATAAATGCCATTTGCATTTCTACCTCTACCTCAAAAATGGTTCCCCATTATTTTCCACAAAATTTGCAAGACTGGGTGCAGTTGCAGCCTAACAATATATATCTTAAGTTTACATTTTAAAATCTTTTTACAGAAGCTGAATTTACATAAATAGTAAAATGAAATAGATTGAATAATAGAATAGACTCTTGAGCACAAACAGGTCTGGCCCGTCTTTATCATTATTTATTCAGTTATCACGATAAAGCAATAAATGATAATGCCACAATTAAACTGTTATTGCAACAAAACAAGCCTTATTGTCTTGAGGTGAATAACTTATGATATCAAGATGAATATCAGCACCAACATTTCAACTGAACATGGTTGTTCTTGTCTTTGCTACTTTTGAAGATAGAAGATACATAGAAGATAAATAAAAGATACACTTGTTTGGACTTTAAATTATTATTTGTTTGCCAGAATCATTTCTAAGGTCTCAGCCGGTCTTCATCCACACTAATAGTTTTGCAAGGAAATCCTTGCACGTATCAGCAAGACGATGTTAATCTGTATACATAAGTTTTTTCCTTTTTATTAAAGTTATCAAATCACACAGTAATATGTCTTTCATTTCTTTTCAGCTGTCTTTTACCTTATAAATTGAATAATTACTTTTGAACAAGATCTCCTCTCATTTTATGTGTCACAAAATTCAATATCAAAGTACAAGACAATACTGAACAACTACTCCATGTACTGAACAGCCTGCACGCCAGAACCTTCTTCAGTTTAGGAACATTTGGTGCCTGAAACACAAAGTATGACAAAGTAGATCGAAGATCCAGAATCTTGAATTCCATGTCAGACAAGATTGATTTCCCATAAGTCCAACAACCTCTTTCTTTGTGCTTTTCCTTGGTTGTTTTTTAAAATTTTATTTTAAATGTGTTGTGTTTTTATGACCACATCTATTTATCCATTCGGCTGTGTTTTTCCATAGCCACTTTTTATGATTCAGCTCAGTGCTGAAAATTAATTCCTTTAGGAGAGCATTCTTGTACTTTAGTAATGCCCTCTTAGCTAACAATGAAAAGTGAAAGGCTTGCTACGGCTGTAGGAAGATGCAAATTTCTTTGACGTTGCAAACATGGGGAGGAATTGTTTTAATTGTCCTGTTAGGTAAGAAGAAAATACAAAAAATCAATCCGAAATCAAGAAATGTATTTTATTCAAGGCTGAACATTTCCTTCTTTACAAAAAAAACCCTTTTTAACAAATGTACAATTTGTGGTTCGGTCATTTTACATTAATATACCATATCACATGCTCAAAATGTTAATTTTTTTATATCATATAGTTAAAACTACAAGAGCTCCATGAGAACTGTAAGGAAAAAAGTGCAAAATATAGAGAAAACACTCCGGATAAAGATGGAGTTGGAGTGAAGCTATGTATCTCTCAGGTATCAGTGCTCCTCTCATTCTGAATGACTTCTAGCTAAAGCAGGCTAGGTCAAAATGAAGCACATGGTGAACAGATTGTTTCAGGAGAAAAGGTTTATCTACAAGGCCGTGGAATGACACACTTCTCCCAGCTGATACTGAGCTTTGGGTAGTGATTCCAAACTTCTGTCCTGGCCTTTGAAGTTGAGCTTGTGGAATTCACTTGTGATGACTGATAGAGACTTCCCCTTGGTCTCAGGCAGGAACAAGACAATGTACAGCGCAGACAACAGGCACACGGTTCCGAAGGGCACAAAACAGTATTCACTCAATCCACTCTGCAAAGAAAAGGCAGAAAGACGGTGATTTACACTGGGTTTGGTCAGAGGATGTGTTGAAGCCACTGGGTGCAAAGCTTTTAAAACTTTTTGTTTATTTCACAGTTATTTGACTTTATGGTGGCTGTGATAAATGGATGCACCCACAGATCCTGATCCTGAGCCATACTGACCACTATGAACGGGAAGATCATTCCAATAATGAACAGGTTGAGCCACATCATGGAGCCAGCAATCATGTAGGCTGCTGGCCGAGCGGTCTGGTTGAAGATCTCTGTGGGAAGAATGCCGGTCACTCCAGCTGAGAGATAGAAAATGTTATTTCCAGTCAGCCTTATTACCACATGCCTCACATAAACTTTGTTCAATTTTGAGTTACATTATAAAAATCACCACAGTTAACATTAGTTAACTAAATCTATGACACTAACAAAACAAAATTCTGAACAGTGGTGAATGTGCTGATTTATTTTCTTTGAGAAAATGATTAATACAGTTTATTTAATTTTAACTACATTTGTGAGTTTTCAAAATGAATATACTTCGAAAGTGCCATCTTGGGGTATTTTCAGATCTTTCACACTGTAAAATTCTGATTAAAAGGTTGTTCAGCTGACCTGGTCCCATGCCAAAGCTGAGAATGTAGGTGAAGATGCAGCCCATGCTCAGGTAGGACATCCAGGGGACAGACGTCTGTTAGAATATGATGCAAAAAAGGATTAGAAGCACACTGACAGGAGAAATCAGATAAAGTTCAATGCCAGCTAAAGATAAAAATAATATCTGAATGAACATACCTGCAAATGAGCATAACCATAAAACTTGAATACCTCTATATACGCTTGAAGTTAAATCCCCTTTAAAAAATCTCCCCATAGTCCCTCTGTAACCTATTTCTGGAATGTGGGCTTGTGAGGCCTCCTGGTGGTGAGACTGTCACATTAAACTGAGCTTTTAATAGCTCATAAAGTAGGAAATGAATGCTATGAACTACTTGATTAATCTTCATATATTATACTTGGTTTGATGACAAACTCTAGTTCCAATAATTGGCTAAACTAAAGTGAAAAAGTCAGAAAGTCACCTCTAAGGACAGAGCGATTGTGAAGACGATGGCCCACATGGTCATGAGGATGAACCCTCCTGCTAACATGAACTTCCGGCCTTTTCTCTCAATCAGCAGGTTCTGAAAGTGTAAAAAAATGTTCAACGTGGTTCTGGGTTCATGCATGCTCTCAATAATATAAGCTGAATCATGACAGGAAAGGACAGCTTTACATTAGTTCTGTTTATGGATTCATTGTCATAGGTGTTGTTTATTGCAACAACACTAGTGAAGGCAGTAGATGGTGCTCAGTAGCTAATTCTCCATTCAGGTGCAGAAGGAATTAAGCAGGTGCCACAGGAAGACATCAGAATTGTTTCTTTTGAACTTTAAGATAAACACGGGGCATTGTGCATACATTACCTTGGCTATCAATAGATATGAATATAAATACCAATAACCAAAATATCAAAGTGTTTCCTCAACAAGTCAAAATGTCCTGAAACTCTTTCTTAATAACCCCTAAATCCAACCTTCATGAGAAATCACCTGGAAGCTTTACAACTGGTGGATTCCTTCCTGTTAAGATATCATGTCTTTTCAGTATGCAGAGATATAAAACCTGCACTGTATAAAGGGCATGAGGCTATTCTCAGCTCTGTGCCTGTTTTTATAAACGCCTAATTAAGAATGCAAGCAACAGTCTCCTTTTGTTTTCAGCTGGTTACATAAACAGAGTTTTAATGACGGGTACTTACACACATTATACATGCCGTGAATTCACATGTCCCAGTGCCAATTGTCACATACTGGATTTTATCATCAGAGATTCCAGCCTCTTTAAACACATACGATGCATAGAAGTAAATCTGAAAGGACAGAGGATGTAAAAATATTTTAGAAAATCACCGTTACTCGTTACAAGTATTTTATTCCCATTAAGCAGATTATGCAAATATTTGTACACTGAGTAACGGTGTTAATACTCTCTAAACCCGCTGAGCATGTGGTTAAAGCCCTCGAGGCACAAGTATATTCAGTCACTACTTTCTGCTGCTAAGATATCGGTTGCAAATGTGAAGTGAATAGATTAGATCGATAAAAAAAACGTGGACTTCTCTCCATAGTGCCCATTAACAATGTTAAGCCGTCTTCACATGTGGAGCATTAAAGTAAAAGACGATGCTATGTTGTCAGCATATATTATTAATGTTCTCTGTAACAACACACCCTAAAGAAACTTAGACATGGAAGCAACTGCAGAAGCTCCATCTCAAATTTCTAATCAAGTTCCCAACTTTGGAAAAGTAAACAGTGGCCAGAAAAACATCTGATCCATCCCCTGTACAAGGATCAGTTACGCTGGACAGCGGTAGCTATGTTTCAGCCACCCACACCATCAGTACCACAGCACCAGAGATAAATATCCTGTGGATCAACACAATGTTCAGGGAGAGCAGGGCATTTTGTGTTCTCACCGAGTCATTACCACAGAGCTGCATGGCACTGCTGATTATCATGACAGATATGAGCTGCCACCGCACGGAGCGATCGGTGAAAAGCTCCCAGGGCCGCTTCGGTCTCATGCCTTTGGTTTCAGCCTGTTCCTGCAAGATCTCATCCAGCTCGCTGCTTTGGACCTCACATCCTCGCAAACGCCGAAGGGCTGACACAGAAATGATTTTTTAGTGATTTACACTTGAGAAACAGATAATATTTCCTCCAACTTTTTCCAACATCGGTGAAATCTGTTTCAAACAAATGCCCTTCTTGAATACATGAAGACAAGCCCAGATTTCAAATAAAAGGTTCATGAGCAGAGTGTCCTACGGAGGAGAAGACTGTCCATTTTATGGCTGTCATTAGTTAGCTATTCTAAAGTGCATTTCCATTTTGATACCCAAACAAGTGTAAATGTATGTTACGTGGGTTAAACTTATGTACTTCGAATCTTCCAAAGAAGCATGACAGCAATTGTCACCATAATCTGGAACCAATGTTACCGGCACAATACTTTGATTTCCTTAGCCATGCAGAATGCCTGGTTAGCAAATAAAACTCTACAGGTCATCCAACCATGTGGTAGTTTGAAGAATTATTTTTAAAAGATTTGTAAAGGATTTATATTTTTTACTCTTTCAAATGACTTCAATGCAAGTGTCAGTGTCGCTCACTTTCTAAACATTGAAAACATTGTGATCATTGCGGCATCTCCTGCTTTTTTTAAGTGAGAGGGAAGCGCAACTCTACCGGTTAAGTTTGGAAGCATTTTTCTGAACTTTCTCTAAATTCCATCATATTTATTTTATAATTCTATTTACATGGAGGTCTTACATTATAAGACATTTGAATTAAAATGAGAAACTTGAGCCCAGAATGACCTGGGATATTCCATCGCTGGTTAGCATAGCACATTAAAAAATCATTACCATTAATACAAGCCTCCTTGTCTCCTTTGTCGATAAGCAGGTATCTGGGACTCTCTGGGAACCACGGAAGGGTCAGAAGCTGAATGAAGCCGGGAATGGCATTACTGGCAAGTAGGTACTGCCAACAGGACTCACTGCCCAAAATCTCCCTTTAAACGAACAATTTAAATTGTTATTGTACATGCTACATAATAGAGATTACCAGTCTAATTCTAAAGGTAAGTGGTTTAACGCAAACATACTTGAGTCCAACCACCTGCCCTAACACAACGCCGAATGCTGTGAAAACAGCTGATGACAAGGAAATTGCCCCTCTTAAGTTCTTTGGTGCGCTTTCTCCAAAATACATGGGCTGCACATTCATGCTGATTCCTATAAAACAGACAAAGCTTTGAAGCACATTTAAATCAGACGGCCATCAGAGATTTGACATCATTTGAAACTGACATACCTGCATTTATTCCAACAAGGACACGTGAGAGTAGGATCATCTCAAATGACCTGGCAGCTCTGCTCGTCAGTGCTAAGACAGCCCCACTCATCAGAAAGATGTTGTTCAGCAGCATGCATTTCTTCCTTATGGAGGGAATAGATAACAAAGTTACATTTCAAATAAATCTGTGTGCTTTTTTAAACATTTTTACATGACGTCGCACGCATCCACATCACATGTGCAGGTTTCATAAATGAACAATTTTGCTTCATCTGCTTTTGAATAGCAGGTTTATCATTCACTCTGTTTCTCCATTTCGTATTACCTTCCAAAGCGTATGGTCATGGGTCCGGCAATAAGTGCTCCAGCAAACCCCCCCAATGAGAAGATCGAGACAATGATTGTCCACACCAGCGTCACCTGGTATTCCTCCAAACGTAGCTCCCAGCGGTCCCAGAATGTTTCATTGATAAAAGCTTGAATAAACTGTAAGGACGGAGATTAAGGCTCTCCTTTAAAATTTGACAGAGTTAACCTAACACAAACATGTCATCAAGGCAGAAGTTAAGACTGACACTCATTACCTCTGCGTGCATAGATCCCTGTTTTAGTTTGTATGTTTAAATCCAGGTGGTGATCCACATTAAAGGTGTGGTTTTACTCATTCCAAAGCAGTGTTGGTCACCATGCATCTGCAGTCTAGTCTGAATAATCAGGACAGAATATTTGTGTCTAGATGCGAGTTAAAGTATTGGCAGTGTTTGTTTGGTTTATTTTTAGTTAGTTAGTGCCCTTGATTCATGAAACCCTTTCCTTCTAAAAAAGGAGGGATGCATTACCACAAAGAAACACAAGAAATCAAACTGTTTCTGTGCTAAATCACACTGTGACCTTAATCACAGGGGTGCTGGTCTGCACAGTTTACAGTGGAATCACAAGACAGAGCTTATAGGTGGTGAAATAAGTTATCAATATAATTTTACCACAAATTCAAGGTTAATGTATTTTAACTGTCACTCGTGACGCTTCACAACAACGCAGTTTTGAACGGGTGTTTTTTTGGGTACAACATAAACATATCTCCACTTTTCTGGCATACACTGTAGACTGGTGACTAATGATATGTGGTAACAATCTTTATTTACTGTATTTCAATCCCCACACGTGGCTATATCCCACACTCACTGTGGAATCACACACGCTTCAGCAAAAACTTACAGTTGTAGGAGCATTCATTATTGCAAGGTTGTAGCCATACTGAAGCGTTCCTCCGATGGCCGCAGAGGCAACCATGAGCACCAATGTCAGAGGAGTGCCCTGCGAAAATGGACAGAAAAATCCATTTTGAGGACATGGACTGGACAGTCAAATCTGAAAAAAAACTGAAACAGCTGCAACAACAATCTCTGAATAGCAAACGTTTAAAGTCTAATATACATATACTGTAGGTGGAAAAGATTATGAAAGAAAAACGACTGTCTTTCAACACAGATGCATAATAAACTTTGGCATGAACTGTATCCAACTTAACTACAGACAGCAACAAATGTAAATCCACAAATAGAAATAAAGGAAATCTATTGCTGAGCATAATTTACCTTCTGTTCACCTGCTTGCGACATTGTTGAACAAAATCGGTGATGAGGACGTAAAAACCAACTTTGACAGGTATATGAGAACCGCAGGGGTCAGCCCACCTCGTATGTCGCTTCCATTCGTCATTAGACACGAACACGCGCCAGCATGTACGCGCACGCGGACGCAACTCGTGATAGGTTGTGCAATTAAGTGGATGACGCCCAAAACCTGCGTTTCAAAGACACTTTTTAAACGAGGCGACAATAATTCACAGATAACAGCCATGGTGGCGATGTACGCTGTATCCAGCAGTCACTCGTGAGCAACAGCGCATGCGCAGAGAGGCTAATGAGGGTTCTCATTAACTGTACTGAAGTGATGCTGGTGCAGGTGGATGGACACGTGAGGTCTCACTTAGGTTTCACTTGAGTGAACTGGTGTATAGAAGGATAACTTCTGGTCTCTAATCTACGAATAAACTCACTAGACTGTGACGCAGGTTTCAGTCATTTTAAACTGAGTTCACATTTACCTTTCTTGATGCAAATCTGGATGAATTTCCATTTGTGCCATTAACGTTTATGCAATTCTTGTATTAAAGATTTGTGAGGTATTCCATATATTTCCAGTATTTTTTGCCATAATACTGAGTTGCTGGGTTGAGTTGAAATCATGTGTGCATGCAGGACAATCATTGACTGAATTCGATACAAACTTACGTTAATGCCTTAATGAACAGAATTGCTTTTGTTTAATGAAAACATTTATTTAGGCCACGGAATGGAATGAAAAGTAGAATAAATACATAATACAAGACACTGAAACAAAATACACTGGCTTTTTTTTAACCATTTGTGCAATTTTATTGGACTTTCTTAGTTATTTTCTTTACATTACCCCTTTTAGCATTGTATTTTTTTTTAGGTAAAGGTATAAAAAAGTCAACTCTGTGAAAAGGTTGTTTTGTTCCAGCAGATGGAGATGGTGTGCTCCTGTTGCTCTGTCCATTGGGGGCCCTGAGGAGAGATCAACTAAACTGGCATGCACATTTCAAGCAGATACAACATAACTAGACAAGTTATAGTCAGTTACACTATAAAACTCTCATGGGCTATTGTTAAACTGTAATTTCAAAAAAGAATTCAAAGATTTATGATCTGGTTGAAAAGTTTGTACATGAAAATCCTGTTTTTTTGTGTGTTTCATGCTTTTTATATTTAGTGTTTGATTCTGTGTGTCGGAGGAATGAGAAAATATAACATACAAATGTAATTTACATCGTTTTTCTAAAAGATATGCATATATATTATAAACATTGCATGGATGCAGGGTATCCCTCTCATTATCAAGTTAGAGTTAATTAAACTTAATTTAAAAAAAATTCAGATAATCCAAAGAATGAGCCAATAATCTCCACATAGTTCACAACATTTAAGAAACAAAAAACAAACAGAGTGCCATATTGAAGCCATAATGAGACCTCTCCTCCCCCTCCGCCTCTAATTGGTCCGCTCTGACGGGATTACACGAGTTTCCTCAATTGAGCACCGAGAGGTTAAACGCCCGGACGTCCAGGAGAGGGAAAAGGAAAAACTCGAAACCGGTTCATTTTCAGTGATTTTCACTGAAATTTCCTGCGGGTCAGATGTTTGTGTTTGACACCGGTCGCCAGGTCTGCTCTGTGATCTCCGGATTAAATGACCTCCACCTTTTCTGTCGCTGCTCATCCTGGAGCCTGAAGCACTAATGCTGTCTCTCAACAATCCCGTGTTTCAGTGAAGCTGCACTTCGGACACTCAGTCGTCAGAATGATTCGGATTTTCTGGGATACTGTTTTCCTCTTAAGTGGTGAGTGGGTAATGGGACAGTGGAGGAGGCCAGTAACTGAGCTCAGACCTGGGGAGACTGACAAAAGCATGCGGATGAATTTAGAAAACAGCTGTTAATCCTAATTGTACTTGAAGAGAGACCTGGAAAAGTTGTGTAGGATTTGAACTGATCAGTGGACTTTAGTCCCCCAGATTTAGCCCTGCTTCACAAGTGTGGCATTGGTCTTATTGTGCCTTCATGTTGTTGTTTTTGCATGTTGCCCTCTCAGGGCTTGCTGTATTCAGTGTTTTGGGTTGATCCTTTTCGTGACTTCTGACCCTGTTAACCATTGTTTTATACCTGGTACACCGCCGTCACTTGCATGTAGACATGGAGAGTGCGATCACCTTAATATCAATCCGAATGATTATGAGGTATGTGTTATTTGGCTTTTGTATGAACTGGGAAAAATAACTTTCAACTTAGACAATGAATGTCTCAAAGCCCTGGGACACTTGGACAACGTCCATGATGTTCAGTGGAGAGTTTGCTGTAACTTTGTGATATTTATATGTCGTCCGGCTCTGGTCCTGCAGTGATTTGTTGTCCATTTCTTTCCCAGGAGGCCCCTCATTTAAAGTTGTCTGTTTCTCGCTGTGCAGGTTCTCTCTTTACATTTGGAGCAGGACCAAGCAGTTCAGCCATTATTGAAGTGAACGTTCCCATTGACTCCAACTCCAGAGCTGCTCCAAACGCCTTTCTCAGCCACAGCTCTGGGACAACCAGCGTCAGAGGTGCAGCAACAACTGATCCCCCCGCAGCTGAGAGTGAGTCACGCAACAGAACTCTGTGTTTCATACGTCCTGTCATCTCATTAAAAGCTCATTAAAGCTGCCTGCCGTGGGGCTTTCATTAAACTAGACTTTAGGACCTTTCTGATTGAATTGTTAAGTTATTTAGATATTTTTCTTATACGCTTTGTGTCATATGTCTTCAGGTATTTCCTCGAGAGAAGAACAGACAACTACAGCAATTTTTGACGCCTCTCTTTACACCAATGAGACGTTTACTGCTGCTCTCAACGTCTCAGTGAGCAGCTCGCTGGAACCCACGAGCAACAGCAACAACAGCAACAGCAACAACAGCAACAGCAACAACAGCAACAGCTCCTCCGCCAAAACACCTGTTGCGAATACAACAGAAAAACATCTAGTCAAAAGTAGGTTTCCTCTTAACTTCCACAAGTAGAGATGCAGGTTGAAGTTGGAGGTTAGATTCTACATTGGGAGGAGATTTCTGTGTGGTTTGAGATAAACTGAGGCATTAATCTTCATGTATGGCACTGCCTGGTCCACTCCCACTTCCATGCTCCTTCCACAGCAGGAGGTCACACTGTTTTCCCATTCCGCAGACAGTGTGGCACACACTGATAAGTGATCCGCTTAGCATGAGCAAGGGCAGCTATTATGAGAGAGCTGAGACAGTGAGACATGTAGTTGGTTATTTCCCAAATGCCGTCCCTACAGTATTGAATTATAATCCGAGAAGCACCAGGCTTTCCCTCAAGGCTGGTTTCTGTGTCAGTGTTCCTCATGTCCGACTGCCAAAATCACATGGAACGAGAAAGGGCTTGGTGAGCAGATGCCTCAGGGACAACAGAGGGCTTTCACAGAGGGAAGGAAGGAGACAATGCATGTAGGCTGCAATCCAAAGGCCCATTTACCATTGGAATGGAGTGTTTGACGATGGCTGCTATGTAGAAATCTGTCTAGATGTTCATCCTCCTTCTCACCCTTAATGTAACACTGTTGCATCTGTTGGTGGTGCTTGTGCAACACTGGGTCTTTAAAGAAGGAATTTGTCTGACTGTACATTTTAATAGTTAGAAATTACATCTTATATTTTGAAATATTATTATATCGTTTTTTTATTATTCAGTTTTTTTATCTAGTTGTTGTAGGCTTTTGTTAGTTTAAGTAAGATAAATACTTGCTTAAAGAAACTGCAATGTGGTTACAAGTTGTGGTTGCTAGTAGGATGCTTTCTCTAGAGCCCAAATATATGTCCCCATTATATATTTATTGTTTTTTAAATCAATTCTGCCTCCAGGGTAGAGTGATAGATGTAAGCCGCCAGAAATGCACACGTAGCTGAAAAGATGAGGAAGGAATCTATTGTTGGGCGTTAGGATTTAGTACACGGTTCCGTTTCAGGCCTCAATTAGGCTCGTGCTATTTTAGATGTTGGACTGTGTCACTTTGGGAACAAAAGTCTGTTAATGGCATATTCTGTTTTTGGGATAATCTAATCAAGATTCGACCACAATAGGTGCTCTGCTCTTAAAGGTCTGTTCAATAATTCTACAAAATCTCAGAGTAAGTTTCTTCCAACGCTACCTTTAAATATCCCTCTCCAGCCCATTTATCTCTTTCTTTTTACAGCAGCTCTTTTCAAAATTCGTATTCTCTCAAGCCAACTTGCCCGAATTTCACCAGTTTTTAATGTAGCCACTGTCACCAAGTACTCAAATTCAAAGAGCGAAGTGAAATGCTCTCTGTAATCTGTAGGGTATGACATATTATCCAACATTATGCACATTAGAACACTTTTTGTTCCATCAAAGAAGAAACTTTCAGGTTTTCTAACCAGTTTGCTCAGTTTGGTTGACACACTAATTGTTGCGGACAATTTGGCACAGAAACAGACTGCAGAGTCCAAAGCCTGATTAAAATGAGTATGACTGCTCACCGTTAAACTCGTGTCCCTGTTGTGATCTGGCCATTTGAATCGGGTGTATTGGAGAAGTGTGAGATGTGCTGCTTTTGGATTGTATTCTCATTCATTAAGTATTAAGTTTTGAAGTCCTAAAAGTTGGAATTTAAATTTAAACTCCCCACTGACAGTCTTGTGCACTGCACTTCTGTCATGTGTGCACAACAGTCATTCTGAGTTTTTTTGGTGGGGTGTCGTCCATCTTGTCTGCAACATAACATACGGAAAAAGTACGATTTCTGTCATTGCATTTATGCAAATATTTAAAAAAATATTGTTGTTGGTTGTCAGCCTTTTGAAATTCACTTTCAGTGTGAACTTCAAACCTTTTATAACTCCTCAAATGTTGGTATTTTTATCTAAAAGGTGCTGTCAATGTTTCTTAGTTCAAGTTTTTTAGTGACATTAAAACTATAAATTGAAGTTTACTCTTTTAATATACTTTTGTCGATTGTTATATTAAAATTAGATATTTAATTTATTCATAATAATCTTTACCAAAAAGAGCCTGTTTTTCTATATGTAACTTAAAATTTGGTATGTACACTTTGTGAAATGTGAATACATGTGCATAATTGTAAGTATGGACAATGAAATACTGGAGCCGCTGTCTAGCTGTAACTGCTCCTAAGTCCACAATGTGGTGAGCTGTGTTGTGAATTAGTGGACGTTTTGAGCACAGCAGTGTTAAATAAGAAAGGACCCGGCTCAGAAAAAGGCTAGTTGAAAGTAGAGGCGTGTAGAATATTGGGATGTGGAGGCTAGTTTGGGCTGCTGTCATATGTTGGTAATATTCATATGGATGTTGCAAATGTTACATTTTAGAAACTTTAATGGTTGATACTACTGTAGCAAGTCTTTACACTCGAAATGTTGCATCGAATGCAATTAATGGAATATTAACATCAGCAATATCATCTGTCCTCCAAACAGAGTTTGTGGCAGCTGCTGTTCGGTCCCATTTTGATGACTGTCCAGACACGCACCAGCATTTCTGCTTTCACGGCACATGTCGCTTTCTCATACTGGAGGAGATACCTGCATGTGTGTAAGTCAGTAGATTTTGTAATCATAAAATAACAACTTAATTTCACTTGGGAACTGAAAACACAGTTCCTTCTTCTCTGAGCTAAAATGACTATTCTAATTGGAAATGAGAGGGATAACAGAGTAACGATTACCCTTTTACTACTGCAGGATCATGGATTTGAATGACTTGCTGTGGATTGCTCCGGTCATTGTAGTTTTTTAACTTGTGCAAAGCACTTTGAGATAATTTTAAATGAAACCTAATAATTTTTTGTCAGCAGAGATGTCAAATTGTATTGCTATGTAATTGCTATGACTTGCACTGGAATTCTAGACTCTATCGAAATGCTCTTTCTTTTTTCTGGAGAAATGGACGAGTTGGAAGACGGCTGCTTTAATAAGACTAAAAAAATCCATAACCATATAAGCTGCAGAAACCTGTTTCAATTGGCCACATTTTATGCTAAAAAATCTACATCCGGCTTAGGTGACTGTTGTTATTCTTTAAAATGACCAGCCAGCAATTCCAGTCAATGGTGCCATAAATTAATCTGTAAATAAGATAGACAAGCTCCTTATCTCTATTTAAATTGTGGCTCTGCTATGCAGGTGCCATCCCGGCTTCGTAGGGATGAGGTGTGAGCACGCAGACCTCCTCGCTGTGGTGGCAACCAACCACAGGCAGCAGGCCGTTGCCACCGTGCTGGTGCTGTGTGTGGTTGGGTGTGTGCTCATCATGGTGTTGTGTTCACTCTTGCAGTAAGTTACACTCATTCTCGTACATCGCTTGGCTCGTCGCTGCTGAGCGGCAGTGTTTAGGACCGTGCACATCTGCTTTAGTAGAAGCACCGTTGTTTAAGTCTCTCTCCTTTTCCTTTTGCAGTTGCTGGTGGAGGCAGGACTGCCATCGGCGGAGCCATGCGCGTCACTACATCGAAGAAAAGCACGGAGCATCTTTTTATCCATCAGAGAGCGGTACTTATCTCTATTTACTTAATGTCTTAAAATGCACTTTTGAACTTTTCTGTCTACATGTCACATTCCTCTGGTCTTAGTACAGATGAAGAAGGGAGGGTTGCTTAGGGTGTGTCTCTTTGGCTCCTTGTTGTGTGTCATGAATTAAACGGTCACACTTTTGGAGCAGGTCAGGAATGGTAGATTTGTAATCACAATTGTATGTCCTTAAACATCCCAGAGTTATCGTCTACATGCTTCACAGAACCATTAGCCTATGAAAGTCTCTGTTTTTAAGTTTCGGTCATTCACGTCCATAGAATGCAATCATTCCTATGAACAGGGTAAGCTGGTTATAGAATTAAATGCGTTTTTTTAAAACCTATGTGTCTCTTAAGGAAGTTTAAAATCACTCATCTGCATTAATGTCATGGAAAAGTTAAGATTTTTTTCTTTTCTGGACATAATGAGTGTCAAAACTCCCCACCTGAAGCAAGTTTTAGTTTGATTTGGATTATCAGATTTTTACCAGTGTTTACCAACACTGGTAAAGAACACTATTTTTAATTTAGTTGTGCTGTGACAAGCTTTTAGTTTAAATGAACATACAGAATTCAAGACGTTTTAATGCTGTTCACATTGGAAAATCTTGTTTTCATGTACAAGTGTTATTTTGAGGTCTGTTTGTCTTTAAAGATGGTTGGTCCTGACTTGGGTGAAACAGTGCACCAGTAAACAAACAACTCAGAGAATTTCCCAGCCCCTTGGATGAATTTTAAGAACAACTTTGTTTGTCTTTCAGTGGTTTGACAACACACCTCATCTGTACACAAGCTGTTTGCATCGTTGCATTTTTCTCATCTGTGTGGCCTGCAAACTCTGGGGATCCCGTCTAAAGTGGCACGACTTGCTGAAGTCAAAGGGGGGTTATCCTCAAAGGGACTGTGGTAGGGAATACAATGCGAGGTTAAATGTTCCATGACAATCTATTCCCTGCTTTTTTGGACTTTTGAACTTCGAGCATCAAAGGACATTTGTGCTTTACCCTTTGTTTTTTTGTGGGAATGCCCTCAGAACAGTCTGTTTGAACATCTGAGAGTGAAGATACTGCCAAATCCTGCTTGGGAAGAGTCCCGCATGCCCTGATTTCTGTTTATAGCTGGCCTAGGGGACATGAGAAATAATCTACCAGGCCATTAATCATCCTGCCGGATGCCAAATGGCCAATGTGCTTCATTTTTGGCTGCAGGACAACAATAATTCATTTATGTTAGTCAGAAGGCCTCAATTCCTATTTTTGTCTTTTAATACATTTTTGCACATCGGAACCTTTCGAGCACAAATGACATTTTTAATAAGTTATGGTGGGGAAACGGAAGCTTTAAAAACATTTTAGGGTTTGTTTTTAAAGATGGTCACTTCACCTGACGCAAGTAGGAATTGTTAACTGGACTGACTGATTTTTCTGGACTTCAATTTAATTTAAGCACGAAGGCTGCATTGTTGACTTGTTCCAGTGTTGCTGTGATGTGATCTGGGGAAAACAATCCTCTTGACTCCAGTTTTGCTACTGAAGATGAAGCGTTTGTCAGATTTTTCTATTTTTTAATCCTAAACTATACTTGAACATGATCACGCATCAGAGGTTTCGCGAGTTATACTGTACCAACATTAGCACATCCTGGGTGGCCCCTTTGCCCTTTGCTACATTTATAATGGTGCACTTTTGCACAAGTTTGCTTACCATTTATTTATTTGTATATAGAAGCACTTGACTCACTGCGCAATGCTGTCACTTAAAAAAAATGCATCCACATGCGCGAGATGCCAAATACACTTGTTTCTAACTCTGCCTGAATGAGCACTGAGGGGGGGGGGGCACATCCACCTAACCATGCATGCACTTAAATCACAGCCTGTAATTTTAAAGAAATAACACAAACCATTCGAGTGGTGTGTTATAGCTTTATCTCTGCTTTAAACTGAGTAACTTCTTAAAGCAGAGCAGCCTCTGAATGCTAGCAAAAATGTCACTAATGAAAGAATAGGGGGGAAAAAAACTGACACCGACTCTGTTAACGTGCTTTGTATGAAAAAACTTAAAAGATGAACTTGATGGTATTTACATGCCAGCGGACTGAGAAGATGATACACTTGTCTTTGTTTACAGGATTGTTTAATATTTGGTTTGCGTACTTTTTGTTATTAAATTGTAAATATTGAAAAAAAAAAAAAACGTTTGGGCTAAGCATGGAATGTCAATAGAAAAATGCTGTTAATCTTCTCATGTGTCATATCTATGTTTGATTTATGTTGTCGCTATTGGAAAGCCTCAATCAGATATTTGCCTTCCAATGAAGAATTAAATGAGCAATTGATTGTGTGTGTATGCCTTTTATGTACATCCATCGCTGCTCCTGTCTTGGTTCCATCATGAAGTCATTGCTGGACCCTATACTTTCTTTTTCTTAAAAAATCCTGATTTCCTGTATATTACTTCCTGCTCTTCTTTTTTCACCCTCTCTTCCAATGAATATTTCAGGAGGTAGGAATACTTATGCAAGACTCAACTTCAAGCACAATATAACAAAGAATCTACCTCCTGAGTGCTTTTACAGATTTTTTTTTCATTCACAGAATCCTTCCCTACAGATGAAAAACCATTCATTCTTTGCACAGAACTGTGTTTACCCTACTTATGTTTTAACTTGACTTTTTTCTCCTCCTTTTTGCACTTCCCTTTTTCTTAACTGGGGAGGCTTCGCTTTGAAATCCTGTTAAGGCAGCAATTGGATTTCTGCAGAGCCATTTAGAGCCGTCTGAATTAGCAACTAAACCAGCTTTGAATTAAGCAGCTGTTGTGGGTGCATCTCTGAGGATGCCCAACAGGCTTTGACAGACCACTTATATGGATGGCCAAACAAAGGCAAAGGACAGGAAAAGGTTCAACTAATTAGTATGAACTGATCCAGCAGGTAAAATTACTTTTTTTTTCTCTTTGCACAATTTTCAAGGATTTTCTGTTGCACTATTTCCATCTGATTTAGACAGATAAGCCCTATTCCCCATTAAAGGCTGGGGCTCTGGATTGAATCAGTGCAGGGATTCTCTCCGGGGTTTTCCCCTCTACTTTTTTTAGGAGCTTTTTTTGCAGCTTTTTAGATCCTCTACTTATCATCCCTAGTCACGGCTTCTGACCACATGGTTTAAAATAAGAGTATTTACAAAGGTATTAAGGTTGGGCAATCCTGTCCTATTCTTACTGCTTAGCACTGGGGCAAATCTTTAGGAAAGGCCAAAGCTGAGTAGATCCAGGAAAAGGATCAGTTCACCCTGTAAGGGATTTTTGCTAAGACAATTGATCCTTAAAGCACAAACTTATATAAATTAGATTGATCATTTAATAGCTAGACTCTGAGATTACAGTCACTTAATAAGATGCTTTTTACATTTTTGTTTGTATCACATTTTATATTCCAAGTGTCTGTCACCATCCAATGAGTGTTTGCCTTTAAGCACGATGAATGACAGCCTGAAATATTGTTTCTTACTGGTGCCAGATTTCCTACTTATAAGCTTTCCATTGGTAGACTTCTTATTTTTAATGAATCATATCATGGAGACTTTCACAAAGAGTGGGTAAGACTTACATTTTTAAATGTAAGTGCAGGGCACAAAAAACCTACCTTACTTGTTTGGTCGTGCACTAGATGAACAAAGCTCTGCTCAGTTTGACAGTTGTCACTGGCTAAAAGACATGCTCCTGAAAATATCATTACATTTGTCTTGAAAGAAAATTCTATAAAGGTACTTCTCAAAGTTTACAAGACTAAAAACAAACATTTATATTTGGGCTAATATGGCTTTTGAATATGTTGGGATCAGTGCAATCTTTACAGATTTTCTCAAAGCATAAACATGTGAGATTTAAAAAGCTGTTGGAAATGGGCCGCAGCGTAGCCTAATGGCTAGAGCGGGCGGCCCATATGCGGAGCCTCCGCTTGCAAGCGGGTGTCCTGGGTTTGATTCCAGCCCATGGCCCTTTCCCGCAGGTCTCCCCCTCTCTATCTCTGACCCCCTTCCTGTCAAGCTACTGTCATTAAAGGCCACTAGAGCCAAAAAATCTTTTTTTTAAAAAGCTGTTGGAAATAACA